GGGGGGAACACTGCCTAAGAAAGCCCACGTCAATTTCTGACAATTTATGGGAGTTTTCGGCGATGCCTGCAAATTACCGTGAACAGCCGTTAACCTGAAATTCCACGACAATCTACAGTGCCGCATAGGCCTACTGACGAAAATCAAACTTTTCATGCAGTGCAATGTATTCTCTTTCTCCACTGAAATGGAATGCTGATATACAATAGTGTATCAGGAAGATAACAGTGTATTGGGAGGTGGGGGTTGTCAGCTTTGTTTACTACAGATTTTTTAAAAACCTGGTTTTACGTTTATACCAGCTCATGCCTAGCTATCACATGTCAGCGTAACGTTTGATATAAAGTCTCAAAGATGCATGACCTTTACTGTATTTGCTCTATTATCAAGAATATAGATGAGCCATTAGAGAATCTGATTTCTTTTTTTGCCGGCAGCCCGTCCATCTGTCACTCAGACAGCGACCTATCCGAGGGCAGCAGGAAGTATTCGCCCAGCTCAGAAACTTCAGTGGAAACGCAGAGGGCCTGTGGTAAAAAGAGACGTTATTATCCAGCACTGGAATCTGCACACAGACAAACATGTGGAGTCACACATGGAGCTATGAGCACGTGTATATGGCTTCAGCTGGCTACGAAAGAAGCCGACACACACATTTCACAAATGCTCTCTCAGATGTTCTTTTTAGAACCGTTGCCCAAATGAAAGATTGATAATAGGGCTGTATGTTTGTGTGTGCATTTTTCTTCTCTTTTTTCCCTTCAGAGCTAAAAGAAGCAGCTGTTAACATAATTTCTCATTCCCTTTTTTATATCTCTCCACTATTGTTTGTTTGCTCCCGTCTGTCTCTCTCAGGAGGCTTCTCAGAAACCTACGCCGCTCTGTGCGACTATAATGGCATCAGCTGTAAGGAGGAAGTGCAGTGGGTAAGAGCTGTGGGACTATGTCAGTGCCACTGTTAGTGCTTTTAGTGTTACAGACTGCACTGAGCACAAAATGAATGGTCATACATCGAAGCAAAGAGGCTCATGGGTAATATTGCTCCTAGGATGTGGACACTATCTATCACTCTCAGGACAGCCGGGAAATTAACCTGCTGGATTTTAGCCACTTGGAGAGCAGGTCAATGACAAAAGATTACCAAGCACTATTTACTTCAGATTATGATGCCTTGTTTACTTCATCTTAATCTCTTCCAGGGATTTGGCAGTGATTGTTGCATCAATGGCCTATAACACCTGGTTTACCAAAATCTACTGCAAAGACCTTCGCCTTGTAAGTGCTAATTTACTATTTAATGTTGTGATTTTATGTTCTATTCAATTCCCAGCCAGCTGGGAATTTATATTTCTGATACTTTAAGATGTCTATTGCCCTCCCCGGTAGGGGTGGTAAAATATCTTATTTAATCAAATATTATTTCGGCTGTTATATACTGTTTATGAACACACACCCTACTAGCTGTGCGTTAAAACAATAAATGAGTCACTCGAGCTCTTATAATGGTCAAACAGTTAATTCTGCACTTACATGGAATAAATTCACCACAACTTCTGTTCAAAATATAAGTTTATTAACAAAAATCATGCAGCTACAACTCAAACATATTTCAGTTTAACACTCTCAACTAAAGTAGTAGTGAAACTCAACTAAACTAAACCATTAAGTACCAAGACGAAGAGAAACATGGTTGAAAACCATAGTACAGTTTAAGAGGGATCTTGTGTTTGAAAACCAATGTTTATCTGGAAGAATTTGGCATGTGATCAAATCAGCTTTTCACTAATTTAGAGCATTTAGAATGTTTTTTAACCAAATCACAATGCAAATCCATGAGGTGAAAAAAAACATTATTTGGCCAAATAATGTTTTATTAAATGATTTGCTTAATCAGGAACCAATAACCTTTATTTAATGATCCTTTACCCTTTTTGAAATAGCTAGAAGCGAACAGACACCAGGATTCCACTTAATGACTCTTGGTCATACTTGGTAATCAAATTGTAATGCGCATGAGGAACACATGAACACTAATGTTATATCTGTGTTTAAACCCTTAGTGAAATAAAACGTATCCAAGCTTCAGCAACAGCTCAACACGTGTCTGTATAGCATTGCGTAACATGCAGCCCATTCTGTTAGCGTTTGTCTCTACTCATCAGTAAACACATGAAAAGATCATCAAAAGACATATTGTTTGTTCTGTCCTTAATATATATACCAGACCTTCAAACCATTTTTCCATGTCCATTTAAAAAGGTTGAGTTTCCATCCAGCTGCAGCTCAGCAGTCAGGGCAGCAACAAGCAGGGGTGGGGGGCTGGGAAGTCACACCTCCGTGGGCTGCAATGTGACTTGTGTGGAGGCCTTGGCTGAAAAGGGGGTTTAAAATATTCCACAGCTGTTTATTCACCAAACTTGCGTTCTCTTCTCTGGTCATCATGTCAAGATGAAACATGGGCACTGGTTCCCAATGCCCAAAAAGCATAATCATGTCATTTTGCACAACATATTATCCCTTTTTGATCTAAAAAAATTTAGATGCTATTCTTTGTTTTCAGATCAACAAATAGGTTCATAAAGCCATGAGATCTGGAACAGATTTGGATTCCTCTTGGCAGGAAGAAATTTCGTTTAGGGTTCATATCTTCTCCAGTGTTTGTCCCTGGATGATTTGTTGCAGGTCTGGCAAAAGCTGACACTAACATTTTCTTTTGTCTGGTAGAGCAGGTCTGCCAGGAAAATGTGACCCTGATACACAAATATATGCATTCCAAACAAAATTCCTAACACCTACATGATTCTGTTGTTCAATCTTCATCATTTCTCAAGTCGTGAAACAAAAGAAAGGGTAAAATAGGTTGAAGTATGTTAGAAATTATCATATGGATATGATAAGTTTTACCATTAGCTTTGAATTGTAGTACTTTGTGATTGGTCAGAGATGCCATTAGCTCTTTTTTGCAGCTCTGTTCTAAGTTTTCTTTTGAGAATATTGGTGTAGCTCGTTTATGTCCCCCTTTACCAGTGTCAACCTTTTGTTTTGCATTGTGGTAAGGTTTGTGACATTTATCTGGGGGTTCTGGTTTTCGTTCTCTCAAGTCATTAATTCATTCATTTTGGTGATCCACTGGGGAACTGAATCTGTGTCTCTTTCTGATCCTGTTCTTTGTTTAAAGGTTTAAGACTCTAAGCTTGCATTGAAATCTATTTGATTTGTGATGTATTTCCCAAAGTAGCTGACCATACCTGCAAGGCTCCTGCATGGAAAGGTTCTCTGTCCTGCAATGCATTGGAACATTACACTCACCGGCCACTTTATTAGGCACCCCATGCAAGTAACGGGTTGGACCCCCTTTTGCCTTCAGAACTGCCTCAGTTCTTCGTGGCATAGATTCAACAAGGTGCTGGAAGCATTCCTCAGAGAGTTTGGTCCATATTGACATGATAGCATCACACAGTTGCCGCAGATTTGTCGGCTGCACATCCATGATGCGAATCTCCCGTTCCACCACATCCCAAAGATGCTCTATTGGATTGAGATCTGGTGACTGTGGAGGCCATTTGAGTACAGTGAACTCGTTGTAATGTTTAAGAAACCAGTATGAGATGACTCCACCTTTATGACATGGTGCATTATCCTGCTGAAAGTAGCCATCAGAAGTTGGGTACATTGTGGTCATAAAGGGATGGACATGGTCAGCAACAATGCTCAGGTAGGCTGTGGTGTTGCAACGATGCTCAATTGGTACCAAGGGGCCCAAAGAGTGCCAAGAAAATATTCCCCACACCATGACACCACCACCACCAGCCTGAACCGTTGATACAAGGCAGGATGGATCCATGCTTTCATGTTGTAGGCGCCAAATTCTGACCCTACCATCCGAATGTCGCAGCAGAAATTGACTCATCAGACCAGGCAACGTTTTTCCAATCTTCTATTGTCCAATTTCGATGAGCTTGTGCAAATTGTAGCCTCAGTTTCCTGTTCTCAGCTGAAAGGAATGGCACCCGGTGTGGTCTTCTGCTGCTGTAGCCCATCTGCCTCAAAGTTCGACGTACTGTGCATTCAGAGATGCTCTTCTGCCCACCTTGGTTGTAACGGGTGGTTATTTGAGTCACTGTTGCCCTTCTATCAGCTCAAACCAGTCTGGCCATTCTCCTCTGACCTCTGGCATCAACAAGGCATTTCCGCCCACAGAACTGCCGCTCACTGGATGTTTTTTCTTTTTCGGACCATTCTCTGTAAACCCTAGAGATGGTTGTGCGTGAAAATCCCAGTAGATCAGCAGTTTCTGAAATACTCAGACCAGCCCTTCTGGCACCAACAATCATGCCACGTTCAAAGTCACTCAAATCACCTTTCTTCCCCATACTGTTGCTCGGTTTGAACTGCAGGGGATTGTCTTGACCATGTCTACATGCCTAAATGCACTGAGTTGCCACCATGTGATTGGCTGCTTAGAAATTAAGTGTTAACGAGCAGTTTAACAGGTGTACCTAATAAAGTGGCCGGTGAGTGTATATCGTACACATTCATGTAGATTTTGAATGAACAATACTTTAAATAAGGGATCTTCTTTGTCAATATCTGGAGAACTGCAGCCCTCAAAATAAACCTGTGGGTGTTTCTCTGGGTGTTTCATGTTCTCCTTGGAGAACTAAAGATGCCTCAAGCTTTGCTAGAGCCAGATCTCTGTCAAGCAGAATATCCTTCTCTTAAGGTTTGACAATGACCTGAATAACTTTGTCTGATTTTTGGATGAAGAGTTTTTATGAAAACATGGACGCTTCTAGCTGTTGTTTTCCAAATCAACTTCAATTTCTCACGAGAAGAAGGAAATGGCAAATCTTTTAGACAACACTCAACTTCTTGCAGATAACCAGTTATGTTGGAGTGTTGACTTTCTGGGACAAAGGTATCAATGTCTTTGGCCAAGAATTCAATTTGTTGAATGATACAATATGGTCACTCAGTGGACCTGGCCCGTCAGGAGACTGATTCTCCTTAGAGTTTTCCAAGCTGTGAATTCTGGCACTTGGTGCTCAATCAAAGTGGTGTGAGACAGAGTAGGGATTAGACAGTTGTACCTTGCAACATTTTAAATCACTTGAGTTTACCAAGTGGTCCAATAGTTTCTGTCTGTCTCTGTCTGTGACACTACCTTGACTTTGAACATCTTCAGAGCTATTTAGTGTTAACTCGGAATTTAAACACTTTGTCTCTATTTTAGAAACTGTTTTCCTTTCAGCTGGTTTGACCTGGTGGCTTTGTTTATTGCATAGCTCCTCAGAGGCGGGCTTCACCACCATTTGTTCAAACGCCTTGTCACTCTGGCCTTGTTGGTCTTTGATCATTTGAGCTTCCGAAATTAAACGCTTTGCAGCACTAACTCTGTGAAGGATCATCTTATTTTACCTATTTTCTAACTCAGAGTACTGTTTAGCTTTTATTTGGGATTTAATTTGATACAGCAGTGTAAGCTCACAGAGTATATCTGTTATCAGAAAATTTTCATTTGGGGTTTGAATTAAGTTAAATAGTTCTTGAATCCTTTCTCCACATAGACTGGGGTTCAAATTGTTTAGGTTAAAAACTTATCTGGAGATAAGTGGACAAACTTTGCAACAATTTGTTTCTGTTTCTCTATGACTGGAGTCCAAGATGTCCTTAGCATTGAGGATGCTTGGATCCATTTTCAGCTGATGGCACAAAAACACTAGTTATGAAGTATATTTGTATATTTCCATATACATATTGTAAGGACTTATTTTTATGTGTGTAGAAGCAGGTCACAGGTATCTTTAAACCTGTGATATAAAAAAAACACTTTTCTGTCAGTGTTAAAAATGCTACACCTTGTTTAAGGATTTATTTGCTATTTTAGCGCATGCTTTACCTGTCTCTGAGGATTAATTAGCAGTTTGGCGCAAAGCTTAACCTTTAAGGATTTACTTGTAACTTAGCTTATGCTTCACCCTTTTCTGTGATATCAAAGAAACACTTTTGTTTCAGTGTTAGAAATGCTACACATTGTTTTAGGATTTACTAGCTATTTTAGTGCATGCTTTACCTGTCTCTGAGGATTTATTAGCAGTTTGGTGCAGAACTTAACCTTCAAGTGTTAAAAAACCTTCATGGCTTCCTCGGGTCCACTGATTTGAGTGCAGATCACTTAGATGGAGTGAAATAATAATGCTGGACAATGGAGCTTCGATTCGCCTTTTGCAAAAGGGAGAGCAGCAGCAGCGCGCATCTGCAAACAGCAACTCTGA